TATATTTTTATTCATAAAAAACATACAATTTACCATTTTAACCATTTAAGTATACAATTTAGTAGTAGTAGCCAATCTCCAGTAGTAGCCAATTGTTTTTTATCTTGCAAAACAAAAAGTACCCATTAAAACATTGACACCCCATTTCTCCTCCACAGCTTCTGTTAGTCTGCATTCTACTTTCTGTTTCTCTCAGTTTGACTACTTTAATTACCTCATGTAAGTGGAATCAAACAGTGTTTCTCCTTTTGTAATTGGCTTATTTTATTTAGTATAATATCCTCAAGGTTTATTTTTGTTGTAGCTTATGACAAGATTTCCTTCACCTTAACGCTGAATAATATCCCATTGCATCTATCGATTCCATTCATTCATCAGTTGACACTTGGAGTTGCTTCTATCTCTTGGCTATTGTGAATAGTGCTGCTTTGAAAATGCACTATAGGCCAAGAACAGTGGCTCATGCCTGTAATCCCAGTATTTTGGGAGGCTGAGGCGGGCAGATCATAAGGTTAGGAGAGACCATCCTGGCCAACATGGTGAAACCCATCTCTACTAAAAATACAAAAAATTAGCCGAACGTGGTGAGCGCCTGTAGTCCCAGCTACTGAGGAGGCTGAGGCAGGAGAATGGCTTGAACCCAAGAAGTGGAGGTTGTGGTGAGCTGAGATCATGCCACTGCATTCCACCCTAGGCGACGGAGTGAGACTCTGTCTCAAAAAAAAAAAAAAGAAGAAAAAATGCACCACAGACATACATTTCTGAGTTCCTGCTTTCAGATCTTTTGTTCAGCATAGTATTGGAAGTCTTAGATAGAGCAGTTGCTGAGAAAAATAAGTAAAAGCCATTCACATTCGAAAGCAGTAAGTACAACTGTCTCTGTTTGCAGATGACATGATCTCATATGTAGGAAACGCTAAAGATTCCACAAAACAGCAGAATTGCAGCAGTTTATATTTGCAGCAGAATTACAGCAAATTGTATTTGCTGAATACAGCACAGTTGCAGGATACAAAATAAATACACAAAAATCAGTTGCAGCCAGGCAGATCACTTGAGCCCAAGTGTTTGAGACCAGCCTGGGCAACATGGAGAAGCCCCATTTCTACAAAAAATAGAAAAATTAGCTGGACATGGTGGCGTGTACCTGTAGTCCCAGCTACTTAGGCAGCTGAGGTGCGAGGATCACCTGAGCCTGGAGAATTGAGGCTGCAGTGAGCCATGATTGTGAAGTGAGATCGCTGAGGTTCATTGCCTCACACTAAGGAAAGCGAAGATGTGGACACACAAGGTGTGCCTTTAAGAGTGAAAAGTTTAATAGGTGAGAGAAACAAGAAGAAAGCTCCCATGTGTAGAGGGAGGGATTTCCAAATGGATCTCCCTGTTCACAGTGGGATGCATTTGATTTTATAGAGGGACTTCAGGAGGTGGTGACTAATTTACATAGGGCCTAGTGGATTGGTTGGACCAGCTGTGCCACTTAGCCTGCAAAGAGGCTGGCCATCTTACCCTAATCTTTTATCATGTAGATGGGGTCTCTACCTGGCTGGTGCCGTGACACCCCCACCCATGGCAACAAAGAGAAGGGAGAAGACCACTGCCATGTTTGATATACTTGCCTTCTGGCATACCTGCTGACATTCACCTATGCAAGCTTACAGCTTGCTTATGTATGCTTGCAGATTGATTTTTTCAGGCTGCTTTTTGTTAGAAAATAAAGGATTTTGGGGTTGCTTTTTATTAAAAGAAAAACTTTACTGAGTACATCTGTACCCTCACCAACTGCCTAAATACTTTCTTTTTAAATCTTATATCAGTTGTGCCACTGCACTCCAGGCTGGTCAACAGAGTGAGACCCTGTCTGAAGAAAAAGAAAAAAATGACATGCACACGAATGTTCATTGCAGCACAGTTTACAATAGCAAAGACCTGGAACCAACCCATATGCCCATCAATGATAGACTGGACAGGGAAAATGTGGCACATATACACTATGGAATATTACACAGCCATCAAAATATGTCCTTTGTAGGGACATGGATGAACCTGGAAGCCATCATTCTCAGCAAACTGACATAGGAGCAGAAAATCAAACACCGCATGTTCTCACTCATAGGCGGGTGTTGAACAATGAGAACACATGGACACAGGGAGGGGAGCACTACACACTGGGGTCTGTTGGGGGGAAATAGGGGAGGGACAGCAGGGGGTGGGGAGTTGGGGGGGATGGCATGGGGAGAAATGCCAGATACAGGTGAGGGGGAGGAAGGCAGCAAATCATGCTGCCACGTGTATACCTATGCAACAATCTTGCATGTTTTTCACATGTACCCCCCAAACCTAAAATGCAATTAAAGAAAAAAATGTAAAAGAAACACCCTCAAAAGCATAGCAATTACCAAACTTTTTCCATAGTGGGTGCATTATTTTATCAGCCTATAAATGGTGTACAAGGGTTCCAATTTTTTACATTCTTGCTGATACTTATCATTTTCTATTTTTTCTTATAGTGGCCACTTTAATGAGTATAATGTGATATCTCATGGTTTTGATTTGTATTTCCCTTAGGGATAAGACTTTTAAAATTTTTCTTAGGTAATTTAGTTTTTTTTGTTTTGTTTTGTTTTGTTTTTGAAACGGAGTTTCGCTCTTGTTACCCAGGCTGGAGTGCAATGGCGTGATCTTGGCTCACCGCAACCTCCGCCTCCTGGGTTCAGGCAATTCTCCTGCCTCAGCCTCCTGAGTAGCTGGGATTACAGGCACGTGCCACCATGCCCAGCTGATTTTTTGTATTTTTAGTAGAGACGGGGTTTCACCATGTTGACCAGGATGGTCTCGATCTCTTGACCTCGTGATCCACCCGCCTCGACCTCCCAAAGTGCTGGGATTACAGGCTTGGGCCACCGTGCCCGGCCGGTAATTTCGTTTTTAATTCCTATTTGTTATATTTGGTTCTTTTTAAATGTGCTTGACCTTTTTTTCATTTGAGATTTTATGTTTCTTGTTCATTTGTTTCTTACAACACATTAAACATATATATTTTGTATTCTATTTATGATAATTATGACATCTGTAGTCTGTGGGTCTGATTATGCTGCTCATTGTTTCTGTTGACTCCCATTCATGGTACTTTATTTCCTTGTTTATGACTTTTTTTTTTTTTTTTTCCAGAATGTGAATTCATCTTTGGAACTGTTATCAGTGGAGTTCTTCCATGTTTTTGTTGGGGATGTATTCTTCCAGAGAGGTTTTATCTGTTTTCACTATTCCTGGGGCAACACTTAATGAAGAGCACTTTGGGTTATAATTTTTATTTGTGGTTATTAAGCCCATTAGGCAGTATCAGTTGGCCTCATAAACCTTCATAGCTGCAAATTCTTAGGAGACACTCCCTCCCCAACTTTTATCCAGTGGTATGATTAATTCAGGCATGTTTATTTTCTGGCCTCTTCTTCAGAGTTGGGTTACCTTTTATTAATCCTTACCTTTTGGGTGCAGCCCTTAAGTAGGCCCTTTGTGCAGGCCTATTTTCCTAGCCCTTTGTACTGGCCTGACTTTAGTTTCCTCTAGTTTTTATACTCCATGTAGTTCAGAATAGGAGGCTTAATGTCAACACAATTCATGAGAACTCCTCAGAGTGAAAGCTAGCTGAAGACTCCCTTGCTCCTTAGGGCTCCCTGATTGATTCTGCTTTTTGACCCAGTGAGATTCCATATTTTCTTATCAGGTCAGTGAAACATTTTAAATTTTATCCAACTCTTAAGTTTTCATCAGGAGAGTTTTTTGGCATCTGTGGTCTGCCATACTGCTGGAAATGGAATTTAGGCATCTCATTTGATGGGTGTCTTTTCTACTTCCCCTTACTGAGAGCCACCTTGAGGCAGGAGTGAGTGTCCCAAAGGAGTGGAGGTCACTAATTGCAGGAGCTACATGTTCTCTTACCTTCTGTGTCTACAGAACCTGGACCAGGATCGATTTCACAGGACATGCCAGCCACTGTTACTGCCTGACCACAAAAGCTTGAGAGTGAACCTACAGAGACTAGAAATTGGGTAGTTGGGGAGAGGAAGGTGGAATAACATCAGGAGGGAAAAATATTTGTTATCCTTTCTGGAGAGCTAAGGGGGTATAGGAGGAGTATTCAAGCAAGATTGATTGTATGTATGCATGCGTAACTCTTAGAATTGGCTGCAAAGGGGCAGATGGAATCAGAATTTGCTGAGTGTGGTTTGTTTTTATGGGTTCATTGGTAGACGTTTCAGTGAACTTCCTGGCAGGCTGGCAGGGTAGAAGTTCATTGGAGAGGTTGGGCTTAAAGCCTGCCTGAGAGAGCATGGGGAGTCTGTGGATTAGTCCTTTGTTGAGGGCTCTGGCCACACAACATTGGAGTTGTATTTTAAGATTACCAGGACAACCAGTTGGTGATGGAGTCATTTGGGCCATGGTGTGTGTAGGGTACTAAACAACTCCTAATAGTCTTTTTCCTGGCCACATAGCATTTTGACTTTATCACTGTTTATATGCCTCGTGATTTGGGAGCTGTTGGTTTGCCCCTGAGAGCAGCTCACTGAGCATCCATTCACCTCCTCCCAGTGGATGGAGGAGAAAAGACTAGAGGCATTAGTGTTCCCCTGCTGTGTCCCTGTTATGGGAGGAAATGGACTTGAGGAGCTACTTTACTGAGTATTTTTGCACTCAAGGCCCTGGACTCTGTAGTTGAGTCTTAAGGATAGGGGCAGTTGGCCCTTTGGTGATACCTGCCTGGAACAGTGTAGCTAGGGGATGGCAGAGGGGACAGATCCCCTGGTATGTCTAATATATTGGAGAAGATTAGGAAGCAGAACTGGGGAAGATTAGGAAGATGATGCCGAGTTGACCCAGACACTATTAAGATAGTGAATCTTAAGGCAGAGATATTTTTCACTTAAATGGTAGAGAAGATCCTATTGCCTTTCTTGTTAAGATATAACTTTTTAAAATTGGCTTTGCTTGTCTTATAGATTCTTAGACTCTGTGAGTAAAGACAGCTTCGTCTTCCCAGTTCATCATGGCTTCAACATCCAGGTAGGAGTGCCGTTTGATCAAATGTTTTATCAAAGAATTTATTCCCCTGTGGTTTTGAAAGGCTGGGAAGTTTAAAGAAAGAAGGGAGAGGAGATGGGACAATAATGGGAAAAATGGGAAAAGGCAGATGGTTGTGTGTATGGGTGTGGTCATGTGGCACTAATGTTTACGCTCGACAGCAAAACGTGACTTCACCTTCCTCATTTTTCAAAATTTTAAAGACACCAGATGGTTATCCCTGGGGCCACCTTGGTCCCTGCGGGCTTTCTTATGCCCGGGGTTTGAACAGTCATGTGCACAAGTTATTTGAGGGTCGGGGGTGAGGAGGGGCTTGGGCAGTCAAATTGGTAGGGACCCTGGCCTTGCAGCCCGGGATCTGCCCCAGTGAACTGGGCGAGGCTAGGTCAGAGAAAGTGTGAAGATGGCTGCTGCCCCTGAGAACTTTACTCCAGGGCCCATGGGAAGGGCTTTGAATTTCCTTTCCCTTCAAACTGGCCTCTTGTCCTGGCCCATGCAGAGCTTGAATGAGTGAATACCTCACCTCCCTAGAGGTCAGCATTGTAGCTGGCAGTCAGTCTTCTGTGGTAAATCCTGCATCTTTCCTTTAGGATGGAAGGTCCTCACGTAGAGGTTGGGGCCTGCAAAGGGGCACAGAGCAGCAGCAGGCACCTCTGTGCCTACCCTCCCTGCTAAGGCCATTCTCACAGCCAGGGTGATATTGACAGCCTAGATATAACGCCCTGTTCCATCACTCTGGGGCTACCTGTGGCAGCTGAACACTGGAAGTCCTGGGCCTGTGGAGTCCTGTGGGGCCTGGTTCTCTCTGTCTCTGCTCTGGTCTCCTGTCCTCATTGCACCTTCAGCCTCATTGACCTCCTTGCTCTTCTGCAGATGTCAAGTCCCTTCGGAGTCAGGGCCGCATGCCTGTGGTTCTTCCTCTCTGCCTGGGGCATCTTGTCTCCAGCCGTCTGCAGGGTTCAATCTCTCACCTCTTTCAGGCCTGCCGCCCTGTGAGCCTTCTCTCACCATTCCGTCCAAAATAGCACCCCTAGCTCTACCACTTTGTTGCATTCTGTCCCTGATCTGGATGGCATTCATTGCTACCTGACACCATTGTAGCTACTTGTTTGTTGATTTGTTGTCTGACTCCCTCAAGTAGAACTACAATGCTATGCAGGTTGGCGTGGAGTTTGCCCATCACCATCCGCTGGGCAGCACCTGTTTACTGTGCTCAAATGCAAGTACAGAGAGTCTCCCACTTAACATGGTTCAACTTAGAATGGTGTAAAAGCCATATACATTCTGTAGAAACCGTACTTTGAATACCCATACAGCCACTCTATTTTTAACTTTCAGTACCGTATTCAATAAATTATATCAGCTATTTAATACTTTATTAAATTATAGGCTTTGTGTTAGATGACATTTCCCAACTATAGGCTAATGTAAGTGATCTGAACATGTTTAAGATAGGCTAGGGCAAGCTACGATGTTTGCTAGGTTAGGTGTATTAAATGCATTTTTGACTTAAGACATTTTTAACTCATGATGAGTTTATTGGGATGTAACCTGATTGTAAGTCGAGGAGCACCTATATCATTTACCATCCATTTGATTCCTATGTCTACAGGGCAAGAGAGTGGCAGGAGTTTCCATGTTTTCCAAGTTGATTTGGCTTCTGATTGCAGTTAGCATGCAGTATGATAGCCACAAGGGAGCTATCCGAAAATCCAAATCTGCTCAGTTCCTGAATTTGGGTAGTGAGAGTTCAAGTAGAGGGAGTTTGAGAATTTGGGGAATAAGGGAAACTTCTGTCAGTTAAGAGAGGGAAGGTATAGTAAGCCAAATGTAATTGCTGAGCTCCCAGGGCCACTGAGCCTGAGGGGACAGCAGTGGGTGTCACTCCAGCTGACTAGGGCTCCCTGTTGGCAGTTTCTGTTATCTGGAGTGGTAACAGCAGCATCTGGATTCATCACTAAAGGGGATCCTCTGTTTTAGAATACATTGTTTAAGAAGGAAAGGAATTAGGTGACACCTCTTTAGTCTTGTCTCCCATCATTACAATACGTCTGCACTTGAAAGCGTAATCTGTGTTTATCTGGAAAATTTGCTTACTAATTGCTATTCCTTGTGTGAGATCTGTGAAGCCATTCGGATGAAAATATTTTATAGTGGGAGCATCCTCCTCTTTTCTGCTGAAGCACTGGCTTTCTGGCATGGCCTCTTCCTGATTCTGTTTCCTGTCATTACAGAGATGTCATTACTGGGAGAGGTTCCCACTCAAAGGTGAAGTCTGCAAAGCTACTTGAGGTTCTGAATGCTATGGAGGCGGAAGAGTCTAGTAACAACAGGGAAGAGATTTTCATTGCACCTCCTGACAATGCTTCAGGGGAATTTACTGATGAGGACTCGGGTGATGAAGACAGCCAGCGAGGTGCTCACCTTCCTGGCAGTGTGCTGCATGCTTCAGTCCTGTGTGAGGACTCTGGCACCGGGGAGGATAATGATGACCTGGAGCTGCAGCCAGCCAAGAAGAGGCAGAAAGCAGATGTGAAGCCTCAGCGCGTTTGGACCAAAAGAGATATTCGTCCAGACTTTGGCAGTTGGATGGCATCAGATCCTCATATTGAGGATCTGAAAAGCCAAGAACTGAGTCCTGTGGGCCTTTTTGAGTTGTTTTTTGATGAAGGAACAATTAATTTCATTGTTAATGAAACCAATCGTTATGCTTGGCAGAAAAATGTCAATCTGAGTCTTACAACTCAGGAATTGAAGTGTGTTCTGGGCATTTTGATTTTAAGTGGGTACATCTCTTATCCAAGGAGAAGGATGTTCTGGGAAACCTCTCCTGATTCACATCACCATCTTGTAGCTGATGCAATTAGAAGGGACAGATTTGAACTAATCTTCTCATACCTACATTTTGCAGATAACAACGAACTTGATGCAAATGATAGGTTTGCCAAGGTCAGACCTCTCATCATCCGGATGAACTGCAATTTCCAGAAGCATGCACCCTTGGAAGAGTTCTACAGCTTTGGGGAGTCTATGTGTGAGTACTTTGGGCACCGGGGGTCCAAGCAGCTGTACACAGGGAAGCCTTTGCGACTTGGGTACAAGATTTGGTGTGGGACAACCAGCAGAGGCTACTTGGTTTGGTTTGAGCCCTCACAGGGCACACTTTTTACCAAGCCAGACAGGAGCTTGGATCTAGGAGGCAGTATGGTAATAAAATTTGTGGATGCACTTCAGGAGCGTGGTTTTCTGCCATATCACATATTTTTTGACAAGGTTTTTACAAGTGTTAAACTGATGTCCATTTTGAGGAAAAAGGGGGTGAAGGCCACAGGAACTGTTCGTGAGTACAGGACTGAGCGATGTCCCCTAAAAGACCCCAAAGAACTGAAAAAAATGAAGAGGGGTTCATTTGATTACAAAGTTGATGAGAGTGAGGAGATCATTGTGTGCCGCTGGCATGATAGCAGCGTGGTCAACATTTGCTCCAATGCTGTGGGTATAGAGCCAGTGAGGATGACTAGTCGTCACTCTGGAGCAGCTAAAACGCGGACTCAGGTCCACCAACCATCACTGGTGAAGCTGTATCAGGAGAAGGTGGGGGGTGTTGGTCGGATGGACCAGAATATTGCCAAGTACAAGGTGAAGATCCGAGGCATGAAGTGGTACTCAAGCTTCATTGGCTATGTCATTGATGCCGCCCTCAACAATGCATGGCAGCTACATAGGATCTGCTGCCAAGATGCCCAGGTGGACCTCCTTGCCTTCCGGAGATACATTGCCTGTGTGTATCTGGAGAGCAATGCTGACACGGCCTCCCAAGGGAGGCGAAGCAGGCGGCTGGAGACTGAGAGCCGCTTTGATATGATTGGGCATTGGATTATCCACCAGGACAAGAGGACCCGATGTGCCCTCTGCCACTCACAGACCAATACCCGGTGCGAGAAGTGCCAGAAGGGTGTCCATGCCAAGTGCTTCAGGGAGTACCACATCCGGTGACATCGTGAGACATGCTTGTTTGGTTTATAATGAGATGTTTATAGCTCATTACAGATTGCAGTTGAGTACTTCTGTTCTGTGTTGGAAAAAAGACCTGAATTTCTGATGACTTGGTTTTCTATTTTCTCCCTACCCGCAATGCATCTCTCTTTTTTATTGTGTTCTATTATACCTACATGTGATATAAATTAATATTTATATTAGTAATCCTAAATATTTGCAGATCTTTATTTTTTAACATTTATTTAAAGTTAAGGACTTTTTTTATTCAAATAAAAATTGTGCTTTGTAGTATATTTGAATCCTAGCAAGAATAATCAAAGGAAAACTTGCAAGAACAGTGAAAAGACTTTACCATTGCATGCCAGGGTTTACAATCTAAGATAGGCAATAGTGTATAAATATCATGTAAATATGATGGGTTTCTTAATTGTATTTATTTCATCTTCATCCAAAGTTATCAAACTGTCCAGGAATAGATAATCTGCCTTGTATTTAGTCAGAGGGCTAGCGTTGCAGAGTTCGTATTTTCTTGATAAAAATATTTTCCTAATATATCAATGTGGGATTCCTTTTTTTAAAGAATTTTTTTTAAATTTTTGTGGGTGCATAGTAGGTGTGTTTTTTTCATGGGTTACATGACATACTTTGATATAGACAAGCAGTGTATAAAAATCACATCAGGGTAAATGGGGTATCTGTCTTTCAAACATTTTGTCCTTTGTGTTACAAACCGATTATACTCGTAGTTATTTTAAAATGTACTATTAAAGTGTTTTTAACTGTATTCACCCTGTTGTGCTAGCAAACACGAGGTCTTCCTCATTTTTTCCATTTTTTTCATACCCATTAACTATTCCCACTCTCCCCCACACCCCAACTTCCTTTCCAAGTCCTGGTAACGTTCTTTCTACTCTGTATGTCCATGAGTTCAATTGTTTTCGTTTTTAGCTCCCAGAAATGAGTGAGAACATCGGAAGTTTGTCTTTCTGTGTTTGGCTGATTTACCACTTAATATAATGACCTCCACTTCCATTCATGTTGTTGGAAATGACTGAACCTCATTTTCTTGTGGCTAAATATTAATATTTCATTTTGTTTATATATATTTATCCATTCTATTGTGAATAGTGCAGGAAATAAATATAGTAGTTCAGATCTTTCTTCAATATACTGATTTTTTTTCTTTTGGATATATACTTAGGAATGGGATTCCTGAATCATATGGTAGCTTTATTTTTAGTTTTTGAGGAACCTCCAAACTTTTCTCTGTAGAGCTTGTACTAATTACATTCCCACCAACAGTGTTCAAGAGTTCCCTTTTCTGTACATCCTTGCCAGCATGTATTATTGTCTGTCTTTGAATAAAAGCCATTTTTACTGGGTTGAGGTATCTCAATGTAGTTTTTTTTTTTTTTTTTTTTTTTTTTTTTTTTTTTTTTTGAGACGGAGTTTCGCTCTTGTTACCCAGGCTGGAGTGCAATGGCGCGATCTCGGCTCACCGCAACCTCCGCCTCCTGGGTTCAGGCAATTCTCCTGCCTCAGCCTCCTGAGTAGCTGGGATTACAGGCATGCACCACTATGCCCAGCCATTTTTTTTTGTATTTTTAGTAGAGACGGGGTTTCACCATGTTGACCAAGATGGTCTCGATCTCTTGACCTTGTGATCCACCCGCCTCGGCCTCCCAAAGTGCTGGGATTACAGGCTTGAGCCACCGCGCCCGGCCTCTCAATGTAGTTTTGACTTGCATTTTTCTGTTCATTAGTGATGTTGAGCACCTTTTGTATAGCTGTTTGCTATTTGTACATTTCTTTTTTTGAGATGGAGTTCACCTTGTTACCCAGGGTGGAGTGCAGTGGCGTGTGATCTCAGCTCACTGCAACTGCTGTCTCCGGGGATCAAGTGATTCTTCACCTCAGCCTCCCAAGTGGCTGCTATTACAGGTGCCCACCACCACACCTGCCTAATTCGGTTATTTTTAGTAGAGATACTGTGTTGGCTAGGCTGGTATTGCACTCTTGACCTCAAGTAATTTGCTCACCTTGGCCTCCCAGTGTACATCTTTAGAGAGATGTTTATTTAGATCTTTTTGCCCATTTTCAGATCAGATTATTAGATTTTTTTGCTGTAGAGTCATTTGAGTTTCTTATGTATTCTGGTTATTAATTTCTTGTCCAATGGGTAGTTTGCAAATATTTTCTCCCATTATGTGGATTATCCTTCACTTTGTTGATTGTTTTCTTTGCTGCACATAAGCTTTTTAACATGATGTAATCCCATTTGTTCATTTTTGCTTTAGTTGCCTGTGGTTGTGGAGTATTGGTAAAGAAATCTTTGCCCACTCCAATGTTCTGGTCAGTTTTCCCAGTGTTTTCTTGTAGTAGTTTTATAGTTTAAGGTATCAGATTTAAGATTTTAATCCATTTTGATTTGATTTTTGTGTATGGTGAGATAGGGGAGACTCTCCTTTCCATTATGTATGTTCTTGGCACCTTTGTCAAAAATGAGGTCACTCTAGATGTATGGATTTATTTCTAGGCTTTCTGTTCTGTTGATTCTCTATTTGGTGTCTGTTTTATGCTACTACCATACCGTATTGGTTACTAGTGCTCTGTAGTATAGTTTGAGGTCTGGTAGTATGATACCTCTAGTTTTATTTATTTTTAGGATAGCTTTAGCCATTCTGGGTCTTTTGTGGTTCCATATAAATTTTAGGATTGTATTTTCTATTTCTGTGAAGAATGTCATTGGTATTTGATAGGGATTGCATTTAATCTGTAGATTACTCTGGGTTGTATGGCCACTCTTCCAATTCTGCATGTGGAATATTTTTCCATTTTTTGGGGGTGTCCTCTTCAGTTTCTTGCATTAATGTTTTATAGATTTTATTGTACATATCTTTCACTTCTTTGATTAAGTTAATTTCTAGGTATTTATTTGTGGCTATTGTAAATGTGATTACTTTTTAAATTTCATTTTTAGATTGCTCACTGTTGGCATATAGAAATGCCACTGATTTTCATATGTTGATATTGTATCCTGCAACTTTGCTGAATATGATTATCAGTTCTAATTTTTTTTTTTGATGGAGTCTAGATTTTTCCAAATATAAGATCGTATCATCTGAAAACAAGTATAATTTGACTTCTTTCCAATTTAGATGCCCTTTATTTCTTTGTGTGATTGCTCTAGCTAGGATTTCCAGTACCACACTGAATAACTGGTGAAAGTGGGCATCCTTTTTGTGTTCCAGATCTCAGAGGAAAGGCTTTCACTTTTTCCCCATTCAGTAAGATACTGGCTGGGGGGCTGTCATATATGGCTTTTACTGCTGAAGAGATTTCTAAGAAAAGTGTTGAAGGAGTGGCTTTATTCATCCTGGTTGCTTATGGTAGCATGTAAGAAAAAAGAAATGAAGTTGAAATTTGTATGTAAAAAAGTAGTAGAAATTACAGATGGGAAAAATTCTCAGCCTATCCATATTACACAGGAAAAAACTTAGCATGTTTTCCAGTGTGATTGCTCTGGTGCTAAACATAAAATTAAAAAGACAAAAAAAATTAGACAGCATGTTTGGAAGAGGGCATTATGGTGTGACAGGCTATTTGATAAGATTAGTGTGGGTGTGAATCATGGACCTAATCAGCCATCACAACAGAATAGAGCTTACACACCAGAAACACTGCCAGCTGGAATTAAAGTAAACAGAGAAAATGGAATAAAATGAAGGAAGGCTGTTGGACTTCTTAGATTTTACAGGACAGAACCACAGAGTAACTCAGCTACAAACATGCTATTCAAGACAGAGGAAGAATGACCCTGTAGGTGATGTACATCATCAAGGCTGTCTCCTTGGTTTCAAGAAAGCCTCTGCTTAGAGTTCATCTTAGGTACAGTACTTGTTTATATATAGAATAAAAAAAGATTATGGGATTTGTGATAAAGGATTAATTTTCTAAATTACCATATTTTGCAGGAACAGATACTATCTTTAAAGCAAAAATTAGGCATGCTTCTGTTACCAAGCTATGGGGATATGAGGACACTCCTAGGTCTGGGTCTGTTTAGTAAATGTTATTAATCTGTTCCCTTAACCATAAACGTCTAGAGGATAGAAATGCCTAACTTTCTGGGAATGCAGTCCAGCGAGTCCCAGCCTCATTTTCCTAGCCCTCCCTCAAGATGAAGTTATTCTGGTTCATACGCTCTGACAATGAGACATCAACCAATATGTGTAAGATGTACATTGGTTCAATCCAGAAATGTGGGACAACTGGAGGTGAAAGCTGGACAACTCAAAGCGGAGAGAGGGTTTCCAGGTCATATGTGGGTAAGAGACAAATTGTTACGTTACTTTGAGTTTATGATTAGCATCTCGAAATGAGACAATCAGATAGGTATTTATCGCAGTGAGCAGAGGAGTGACTTTGAATAGAATGAGAGGCAGTTTTGCCCTAAGCAGTTCCTAGCTTGACTTTTTAGATTATTGATTTGGGGACCCCAATATTTATTTTCCTTCACATTTTCCCCCTTTTCTTTTTTAAAATCTTTTGGCGAAAGCATTTTAGAAAAAAATGAGTCTCTGGTCTCAGGTTTTCTCTGATCTCTTGTGACTAGGATGGTTTATTCTAGACAGGTAGGTCCAACATTATTAGGAAAGTTGATTTTTGGCAGGTTGCAGTCTCATGTCCTATGAAGAGAAAATAGGGACAGTAAGGGAGAACAATAACAAACAAAAGAACTATCATGGAAAATCAGTGTCGGCCACATTACTCTGAAGTTCATACATCAGTAGGCAGGTATGAAAGTGGCTTATGTATGTACATAGGTTGCTGTTATTTTCTTCTGAAGTTTACATTGTCTCGCTTCAGTTTGCAGGGCTTTACCGAAGCACAGCTGAGTTTTTGTGACTCCAAATTAGGAAAAAGGTGGAAAAAAGAAAAAAATTGAACACATTATTTTTCAGGCTTGTGGCCTTGAAAAATTAGAATTCAGTTAAAACTGTAGAAAATAGTAAAAATTGGAAAACATTAGGCAAGAGTAGAATGCAATAACAGGTGTACTATAGTTTTTCAAACATAATTTTTCTGTCTCCAGTTTCCCAGTTTTACTAAAGACAAATCATGGTAGGATTGATTTGCTTTATTGCACTTGGCCTGATTATTTGTATACAGCACAGCAAGGATAATTATTCTTTTACGTAGGCTTTCAAGTTAGTTTTGATGGAACTCTGTTCCATAGAAGGAATATCAGATAAGACTTTTAAAGCCCAGCCCAGCCATGGATTTGTACCATCAAATACCTATGAGCTGGATAAATTCATCTCCTCTTTAGTTTCCAAGATAAACTTGGGGCTCTGGGGCTGTCAGAAAATGACGTTCTTTACTTATCACACCTTAGGAACCCTGTACAGGGACTGTGTAGAAAAGGTATGATGCCAGTTTTCCCAAAGGGCTTCCATTGGCTCTATAAATCAAGTTTGATTCCTTAAAGAAAAGCACATCATTCCAGTCAAAGTCTTGGTAAAATAACCAGTTTCTCCAATTGAGTCCTGTTATAAATGAAAACAGATTCCTATTACACTTATACAAATAACTGTATTGCCATTAGTTAACAGTACTTGTGAATAGTTTCCAAATTCTGTAAAAATCAGGAATAAACAAATATGTTCTAAAGTTTGTACATAGAAGTATACCAAAAAATTTTTTTGATATAGAATGACTCTTGTCGTCCATGCTGGAGTGCAGTGGCATAATCTCAGCTCACTGCAACCTCCACTTCCCAAGTTTGAGTGATTCTCCTGCCTCAGCCTCCCAAGTAGCTGGATTACAGGCATCCGCCACCACACCCAGCTAATTTTAGTATTTTTTGGTAAAGACAAGGATTTACCATGTTGGCCAGCTGAAACTACTGACCTCAGGTGGTGCACCCACCTTGGCCTCCCAAAGTGCTGAGATTATAGGTATGAGCCACCATGCATGGCCAAGGATTGTACCAAATTGTTAAAAGCTGTCCGTAGCTCAAAAGAAAAGTTTCCTTGACTCTGAAAAAAACAAAATAGGCTGGGTGTGGCCCATGCCTGAAATCCCAGTGCTTTGGGAGGCCATGGCCAGACAGGAGAATCGCTTGAACCTGGGAGGTGGAAGTTGTAGAGAACTGATACTGAGCCACTGCACTCCAGCCTCGGGCAACAACAGTGAAATTCCATCTCAAAAATAAAAATAAAACAAACTTTCTTATTTAAAAAACTATTTTTATGACTTTCTTTACATCTCTCTGGTTTTCTGGTTTCTTTTACCCTGTTTTATACATAACCTTTCTTCCTTTCTGTCTGTTTCTTTCTTTCTTTTTGAGATGGAATCTCACTCTGTCACCCAGACTGGAGTGCAGTGGCATAATCTCAACTCATCGCAGACTATGCCTCCTGGGTTCCAGTGATTTTCCTGCCTCAGTCTCCCGGGTAGCTGGGATTATAGGCACATGCCACCACGCCTGACTAATTTCTGTAGGGACAGGGTTTTACCCTGTTGGCCAGACTGGTCTCAAACTCCTGACCTCAGGTGATCTGCCCATGTTGGTCTCCCAAAGTGCTGGGATTATACGCATGAGTCACCATGCCTGGCCTATACATAAACTTTAAATAAGCTTTGAATTAGACAAAAAATGTTTACCTTTTTAAAAAGGACACCATGCCCAGCCATCTCAGCATTATTTTAATTTGCAGTCTCCTAATGTGACGTGATGTTGAGCATCCTTTTGTGTGTTATTTGCTATCTGTATATTTTCCTTTTTTTTTTTTTTTTTTTTTTTTTTTTGAGATGGCGTCTCACTCTGTCATTCAGGCTGAAGTGTGATGGCTTGATCTTGGCTCACTGCAACCTCTGCTTTCCTTGTTTAAGCAATTGTTTTGCCCCAGCCTTCCAAGTAGCTGTGATTACAGGCGCCTGCCACCATGCCCTGCTAATATTTTGTGTTTTTAGTAGAGAAGGGATTTTGCCATGTTGGCCAGGCTGATCTCGAACTTCTGACCTCAGGTGATTCACCTGCCTCAGCCTCCCAGAGTGCTGGGACTTACAGGCATGCACTACCATGCCTGGCATGCTATCTGTCTGTCTATTTTCTTTGGCTGGGTGTCTGTTCAGATACTTACCCAGTTTTAATTTAGTTTTAGTGGGTTTTTTTTTTTTTTTTGGAGATGGAGTCTAGCTCTGTCATCTCAGCTGGAGTGCAGTGGCTCACAGCCTGTAATCCCAGCACTTTGGGAGGCTGAGGGGGGTGGATCACCTGAGGTCAGGAGTTCGAGACCAGCCTGACCAATATGGTGAAACCTCATCTTTAAAAAAGAAAAAATAAATAAAATTTTTACCATTCCTTTGAAGATTTATTTGTGTATTTTTAATACAGTTTTAAAAATCACATGTGTATTTTGTAAATATCTTCTCACAGTCTTGTCTTTTTGTTCTCTGAATAGGATTTTTCACAGTGGAAAATTGAGGGTTTTTTTTGTTTTTTTTTTTGAGACAGTTTCGCTCTTGTTACCCAGGCTGGAGTGCAATGGCGCGATCTCGGCTCACCGCAACCTCCGCCTCCTGGGTTCAGGCAATTCTCCTGCCTCAGCCTCCCGAGTAGCTGGGATTACAGGCACGCACCACCATGCCCAGCTAATTTTTTGTATTTTTAGTAGAGACGGGGTTTCACCATGTTGACCAGGATGGTCTCGATCTCTTGACCTCGTGATCCACCCGCCTCGGCCTCCCAAAGTGCTGGGATTACAGGCGTGAGCCACCGCGCCCGGCCGGAAAATTGAGTTTTATAAAGTCTGTGTTATGAATAGTTTCATGAATTGGTGTTTGATGTTGTGTGTTAAAACGTAACACCAAACCCAATGTCACATATATTTTCTTTTTGATTTCTAATAATTTTGCATTTTCAATTAATTATAGACTGGACTATTTTGAGTAGGTTCTTGTGTTTTAATTTGTGTGTACCTTTCATTCTATATGGCTTCCAAATAATCCTTCCATCACCATTTTTGGGGGGGGGTATGGTTATAGTGGGCTTCATTTCAGTTTGAATTTCCAAAATTATGACATTGAATCAACTGAATATTGAATTTTTTAGGTATTTCAGGGCAACTAGGAAGGGGCGTGCATCCGTGGAGAAACTGTGAGCAACAGTGTCTGTGCTGGGCCTTGTCGCCAGCAGAGGGCCCACGTACCTACTCCTGAGCAACTTTGCTCTGAGGTGCCAGAAGCAGCAAGGAGCTTTATCTTCCTCAGGGCAGCATGAAGGTCGTTTCAGCTTGGTGGTGTTCATTGGTGAGTAAAAAAACTTCCTGTTCACATCCCTGAGTGCAGAGGAGAGAGTCTTTAGAGAGTACTCAGCAGAGGAAGGAATTCATCTAGAAAAATGAAACCCTCCAATCCCAGTATTTGAGTACACTCCAATATTGTCAATGTCTAAAACACAGTGGCTGCTAATGTGTATTCTCACAGTGTCCTTTAATGTACTAATCACAGCCTGCCCTAACACCAATATAATATCCACAGCATGCCCTAACACGAATCTAATATCCACACCATGCCGTAACACTAATATATCCATACAGTAGCCTCTAATATTAGTAAATATAATAATATCTACTAAGTAGACTCTGTTGACATTGAGACTTTTATAAGGGTTTCACAGCTTTGGTTGAACTATAGCATCTATAATGGATTTTGATGAAGTCTCTGCTTTCCTGGCATGGTATTAACATGGTTGTTTTAAAAAGTACTTTCCAATAATGTCATACTTCTAGGAAACTTCCAGTAGCAGTACAAAGTATAACCTGTTCCTTCGCTTAGATTCTGCAGCAGTTGTTGCGGTACCAGATTTACATGTCCCTCAAAATTCTTCAGTGTATTTTACCCAAAGTAGAGACACTCTCCCAGGTAACCACCACATAACCCCTAGATCGGGAAATCAGCATGGTTCCTACATGATAATTCAGTCTACAAACTCATTTCACTTTTACTTCCTGCATCACCTGGGAGTACAATGTGTTTTTTCATTTTTCTGATCCAGTTTTATTTTCCTGGCACTGTTCCCAGACTTTCCTGCATATTTGTCACCTTGACACATTTAAAGAGCATGCAAATTTTTGTTTGAACACCTGTCTTCAGGTCTTTGACGTATATGCCTAGGAATGGAATAATTGAGTCATATGGCAAATCTATTTGTAACTGTTTGAAGAAACACCAAACTATTTTACAGATAGACTACACCATTTATTATTGCAAGCAGTGTTTAAGGGTTCAAGTTTCTGCACATCTTTGTCAACTGTTTTTTTTTTAGTATAACGATTCTAGTGTGACATTTTTTGAATTTTTTTTTGAGACGGCGTCTTTCTCTGTTGCCCAGGCTGGAGTGCAGTAGTACCATCTCGGCTCAATGCAAACTTCACCTCCCAGGTTGAAGTGATCCTTCGACCTCAGCCACCTGAGGAGCTGGGATTAGAGGTGCATGCCACCGTGCCCGGCTAATTTTCATATTTTGAGTAGAAATGGGTATTTTTCTTTCTTTCTTTTTTTTTCTGTATTTTTTTAAATTGCATTTTAGGTTTTGGGGTACATGTGAAGAACTTGCAAGACTGTTGCATAGGTACACAGATGGCAGTGTGATTTACTGCCTTCCTCCCCATCACCTATATCTGGCATTTCTTCCCATGCTATCTCTCCCCAACTCCCCACCCCCCACTCTCCCTCCCCTATTTCCCCCACGAGAGACCCCAGTGTGTGATGCTCCCCTCCCTGTGTCCATGTGTTCTCATTTTTAAACACCCACCTGTGGGTGAGAACATGCAGTGTTTGATTTTCTGTTTTTGTGTCAGTTTGCTGAGAATGATGGTTTTCAGGTTCATCCATGTCCCTACAAAGGACACGAACTCATCGTTTTTTTATGGCTACATAGTATTCCATGGTGTATATGTGCCACATTTTCCCTGTCTAGTCTGTTGTCGATGGGCATTTGGGTTGGTTCTAGGTCTTTGCTATTGTAAACAGTGCTGCAGTGAACATTCGTGTGCATGTGTCCTTATAGTAGAACGATTTATAATCCTTTGGATATATACCCAGTCATGGGATTGCTGGGTCAAATGGGATTTCTATTTCTAGGTCCTTGAGGAATCGCCGCATTGTCTTCAACGTGGTTGAACTAATTTACACTCCCAGCAACAGTGTAAAGTGTTCCTATTTCTCCACATCCTCTGTAGCATCTGTTGTCTCCAGTTTTTTTAATGATCGCCATTCTAACTGGCATGAGATGGTATCTCAGTGTAGTTTTGATTTGCATTTCTCTAATGACCAATGATGATGAGCATTTTTTCATATGTTTGTGGGCCTCATGTATGTCTTTTTTTGTAAAGTGTCTGTTCGTATCCTTCACCGGCTTCTGAATGGGCATGTTTCTTTTTTTCTTGTAAATCTGTTTTATTTGTTTGTGGATTCTGTATATCAGCCCTTTGTCAGATGGGTAGACTGCAAACATTTTTATCCATTCTGTTGGTTGCTGATTCACTCTAATGACTGTTTCTGTTGCCTTGCAGAAGCTGTGGAGTTTGATTAGGTTCCATTTGTCTATTTTGGCTTTTGTTGCCAATGCTTTTGGTGTTTTGATTATGAAGTCCTTGCTTACGCCTATGTCCTGAATGGTTTTGCCTAGATTCTCTTTTAGGGTTTTTATGGTGTTAGGTCTTATGTTTAAGTCTTTAATCCATCTGGAGTTAATTTTACTGTAAGGTGTCAGGAAGGGATCCAGTTTCTGCTTTCTGCACATGGCTAGCCAGTTTTCCCAACACCATTTATTAAACAGGGAATCTTTTCCCCATTGCTTGTTTTTGTAAGGTTTGTCAAAGATCAGATGGTTGTAGGTGTGTGATGTTGCCTCTGAGGCCTCTGTTTGGTTCCATTGGTCTATGTCTCTGTTTTGCTACCAGTACCATGCTGTTTTGATTACTGTAGCCTTGTAGTATAGTTTTAAGTCCGGTAGTGTGATGCCTCCCACTTTGTTCTTTTTGCTTAGAATTGACTTGGCCTACTCAGGAGGCTGAGGCAGGAGAATTGCTTGAACCCAGGAGGCGGAGGTTGCGGTGAGCCGAGATCGCGCCATTGCACTCTAGCCTGGGTAACAAGAGCGAAACTCCGTCTCAAAAAAAAAAAAAAGAAAAAAAAAGAATTGACTTGGCTATGCAGGCTCTCTTTTGGTCAGATGGGTGTTTTTTATGTTGGTCAGGCTGGTCTCGAACTGCCGTCAGGTGCTCTGCGAGTACCTCAGCCTCCCAACTTGCTAGGATTACAGGCTTTAGCCACTGCACCCTGCCAATCCCAGGTATTTTGGTTTTCTTTCTTTTTTTATTTTTTTCAGATGGAATCTTGCTATGTTAGCCAGGCTGGAGTGCAGTGGCTTGATACCGGCTCACTGCAGCCTCTACCTCCTGGGTTTAAACAGTTCTCCTGCCTCAGCCTCCCAAGTAGCTGGGATTCCAAGTGCATGCTAGCAAGCCTGGGTAATTTTCATATTTTTAGTAGTTACGAGGTTTTGCCATATTGGCCAAGCTGGTCTTGAACTTCTAACCTCAAGTGATCTGTCCCCCTCGGCCTCCCAAAGTGCTGGGATTACAGGCGTGAGCCACCATGCCCTGCCTTTTTTTTTTTTGAGACAGGGTCCTGTGCTGTCACCCAAGCTGGAGTGCAGGGGTGTGATCTTGGATTCCTGTGACCTCCACATTCTGGGCTCAAGCAGTCCTCCCATTTCGGCCTCCCAATTAGCTGGGACTGCAGGTGTGTGTCACCATGAACCGGCTAATTTTTGTATTTATAGTAGAGATGGGGTTTTGCTGTGTCATCCTGGCTGGTCTTAAACTCCTGGACTCAAGCGACACACCTGTCTCGGCCTCCCAGTGTGCTGTGATTGCAGGCATTAGCTACTGTGCCCAGCCTATTTTTCAATTGTGAGAAAATATGAAACTATGTTAAAAATAGGGTGCATCATTTTATATTACACATATGGTATTTAAGGATGGTGATTTCTCTCTGACCTTGCTAACACTTGTTATTTTACATTTCTTTGGATTATTGCCTTTTGAGTGTGTGTTAAAGGAGTGTATCATTGTGGTTTTCCTGTAGATTGCTACAATAATTATATTGATCATTTTGTTATGTGCTTGTTTTCCATTTGCATGTCGTTGTCAAAATGTGTGATCAGCTGTTTTTAGATTTTGTAATTTGGTTGTTTTTGTTGTTGAATTATACAAATTATACCCTGTGGTTAACAGACTATTGTTACATATCTAATGTACTGTGTGTTGTCTTTTCACTTTTTTTTATTTTTGAGATTGAGTCTTGCTCTTTTGCCCAGGCTAGAGTGCAGTGGTGCAATATTGGCTCACTGCAACATCCCACTCCTGGGTTCACGTGAGTCTTGTGCCTCACCTCTCGAGTAGCTGAGATTATAGGCTCCTGCTAACATGCCCAGCTGTTTTTGTATCTTTTTTTTTTTTTTGAGATGGAATCTCGCTCTGATACTCAGGGTGGAGTGTAGTAGCTCAATCTCAGCTTACTGCAACTTCCGCCTCCCGAGTTCAAGTGATTCTTGTGCCTTAGGTGGGCACCATCACGCCCAGCTAATTTTTGTATTTTCAGTAGACATGAGGTTTCTCCATGTTGGTAAGGCTGGTCTTGAACCCTCAACTTAAGGTGATGTGCTCGTCCATCTCCCAAAGTGCTAGGATAACAGGCATGACACACTGAACCCTACCACTCCCAGGCATTTTGGTTTTCTTTTCTTTTTTTTTTTTTTGAGATAGGATCTCACTTCTGTTGGCCAGGCTGTAGTGCAGTGGCCTCATATCAGCTCACTGGAACCTCAGTTTCCTGAATTCAAGCAATTCTCCTTCCTCAGCCTCCCAAGTAGCTGAGATTACAGGTGCGTGCCACCACATCTGGCTAATTTTTGTATTTGTATTAGAGACGGGATTTTGCAACGTTTGCTAAGCTACTCCTGAACTGCTGACTTCCAGTGATCCTTCTGCCTCCACCTCTGAAAGTGCTGGCATTACAAGTGTGAGCAACCATGCCCGGCCTTTCTGTTTTGAGACAGGGTCTTGTGCTGTCTCTCAGACTGGATTGCAGTGGTGCGATCTCGGCTTACTGCCACCTTCACAGTCTGGGCTCAGGCAGTCCTTCTGTCTCAGCCTCCCACATAGCTGGGATTACAGGTGTGTGCCACCATGTCTGGCTAATT